AAAAACAAAGCTGTGTTTCTCTTTTGCCTAGAAAAAGTACTGTGTTTTTGCCAAAAAGGTAAAACAGTGTATTTAGGGGCAATTATCTATTATTATTATTATTATTATTATTATTATTCATCATCAACATCAACATCAACATACCGAGTATATTCCCAAACAGGTTGGGGTTTGGGGAGTCAGTTGTACGCAGACCTTACCCTTGTAATTATACAAGGAGGCTGTTTCCATAGCGACCCAAGGTGCGTTGCGTCGTTTGATATATTTTTTCTAGAAACTTCACTAATAGAAGAATCACTAGAATTTAATTGAGCCATTTTAATCTAGTCCATTATTTGCACGATGCCAGAAGAATTGTCAACATTGACTCTTCCAGCTCCATTTGCAATGGACTCTATTATTATTATTATTATTATTATTATTATTATTATTATTGTTATTATTATTATTATTATTATTATTATTATTATTTTCACAAAGCGTCAGTATTCATGATAATTTGGTTTGTTTTGTAATTTAATACACGGCATTTTGTGTGTTTATTTCATGCCTTTCTAATTTGTTAATGTCATTCATAGCCCTATCCTTTTCTTCTTATGGTATGCGCTTTATAGTAGTAGGCATCTATCTATCTATATATATATTATATATATATATATATATAAAAATGTTATTGTTGGGTAAACATTAAATAAAACCTATTTAATTATACTTGCGTGACACTTTTCTGCCAAAAACTGTTATTGACTAGCATTAATCATAATAATAATAATAATAATAATAATAATAATAATAATAATAATAATAGTAATAATAATAATAATAATGATAATTATACGTTTTAAGATAATTAATAGGTTAGATCTCTTAAATTTATAAAAACAACATTATTCATTTTATTTTATGCAATCAATATAGTGATGAAGGTGAATATTTTAATAATGTTTATTTTTACTAAGGACAAAATTTTAAAAATGTGATACTATTATCTAACTTATATTTTTAATATTATATACATACATATAACTTATGATAATTTAAATATCTGCGCATGTGCACAAGATCGAATACTAGTATATATAGTTGTTGGCAGAGCAATTAATAAAAATCAGCCAACAATTAATAAAAATAAGTCAACATTTAATTAAAATATTTATGGTTTTCCTCCAAAACCGTTAACATTACATTTTATTTGTTTTCTTATCTTTTAATCTTATTCAGCAATCGACTACGTATTTTTGTGATATGTAACAAATGCATTAGGATTGTCCTTTTTTATTCTCTAATTTTTTTAAAAATCAATCACACCCATGTAGTGTTTTCACAATTTGGTTGTAATGTGCATAGTGTCAAGATAATGTTTAAACCATTAAGTTAGAATGATTACATTTTTTTTCTTAAATTTGTATGCTGATTACTCACATGCAAAAGAAGTAATAATTATATAGATACAATCCAAGATATTAAAATAAAAAGCTTATTTAGAATATAGATCTTTGCACCAAAATTGTAAATTATTGGTTGAATTTATGAAAAAAAATAATTTTCATATTTTAATTGATTATTAGTACTAAAAAATATGATGATTATAAACATATATTTATAATAAAATGCTGCTATTTACACCCTTAGCTTATACACAAATCATGCTCAATTAACCCCAATACATCAACCCATATAACGATTTGACTGATTTTTAGTAATAAACAAAATGAAACTTTTTTGTAAATTTAATGGTTTCATAATATAATGGAATCTAAAATTGCGTGTGTGAACATCTAAAAAATAAGACAAATTAACACCTGCATATTATTTAATAAAATCTCTATCTAAACATCTATATAGCGCAATTGTATTGTTTTGAGTCTGACTCGGAATATGAGGCTTCGATGCCTTGGCGAGGGTAAGTACGACGAGTTGAAGCGCTTATTGGAGTGACTTGCAAGCATTGGCGATGTTACATTTGGTTGATCGAACGACAGTTTTGTACATTACCGACGATATTCTTCTAAAATCACAAGAGAATTTTATTGCTACTATTGTTTAGAGTACCTACCCGGTGTTTAAGAGTTCAGGCGACGATCTTAGCTACCATATTGTTTCCATAGTTGATGTTGTTGAGTGCATTAACGGGTATATGAATACTTTGAACTCATCCAAGGAAAGGACTTATTTGATTTTGTACACCCCTTGCAAGACACATTGGATATGACTCATACTCCTGAATTTTATAATGGGATTAAGTGATCGAGACTTTCGAAGCATAACTTGCACTTTCTGATCATAAACATTGACCACTATGAGGTTGTGCAACGGTACAGTTTGGTTAGTACTAAGTTCAGCAGCCATGTCCTCGAATGCAGAATTTTAATCAGTGTATGATAAGGTTCTTATTAGGCTCACAATCATACTATTTGATTTGAGGGTATCATTAAAGTTTCACCGCAGTTTCCTCACATGTTTTTATGTGATATGACAATCAATAAAAGTGAAGGTCAATCTCAGTCGCATGTCAACGCCAGAGATGTTTAAAGGTAATTATTTATTGTGATGGGGATTCTGACGATAGGAAAACCATGAACGTTGTATATAAAGAAGTGTTTAATAATATTTAGATTCACTTTTTTAAATCATTTTTTTCAGTTATGATTTTTATTTTAGTTTTTTTTTTTAACTACTTTCTCCTAAAGCTAGTATGACTTGAACAGATAACTATCTGTGCAACTTAGTTTGTTGGAGTTGCCTAAACTAAAAAAATCTGGATCTGGATTTCAACTTTCAGTAGGTTCAATTTCAAAGGAAACTCAGGACCCTATTAATGGAACAAATTTGGATACTGAAATCAAATTGGTCGATGATGATTCAAGTATGTGCTCGGGCTACCCTGCTGAACATGGATTGGATAATTCTTATGCAAATAAGGTAATCATGGTTTCAAATTCTCAGTAGTTTCTCTCTGTCAATGTGTCTCACATTGGTCATTGTTATGTCATATGTTTCTACAATGCCTGACCACCTTTTCCATAGTAAAATCAACACACACACACACACACACATATATATGTGTATATATATATATATATATAGTTAGATATATATTTAAAATGTTATATCAGAATACTTGATACAGGTTTTCACATAAGCTTATTTATTTCTCGCATTTTAGGATCTTGATGATGGAGCAGTCAACTGTGACACGGATACCATATTTTCTCCTTCCTTCCATATTCCAAGAAGTGTTGGTGAGGAAATTTCAAGTGAAGGTATTTTATGTTGTTTTATTGTTACTTTGTTTGCATTTTTGCCTGTCAAATTCTATTTCTTCTGGTAACACCCTGTCTTCTATATTTATGGCGTCCAACTCATTCCATTACCTTTACTATTTCAACAGAATTCTACAATTTCTTTCAGCATGGTAACGAGCAGTTTGAGGACTGCGAAAAGGAAAATATCCAGATTGATGGCCCTGGTATTGGCAGAACAAGTCCCAGTGTGTTAGCCTATGAATTTCAAAAGCGTTGTCCATTATTATTTCAAGATATTGTGGTTTCATGTAATTTCAGGTGGTGTTGCTCTTTCTCCTGAAGTTTCTGCAATATATCTATCCATGAAAAATTCAAATCTGGAATGCATTGACGAGAACAATCAGGATCACATGTTAGCAGGTGTTTACCAAGAGGAAGAGGATACTGAAGAATATGATGATTTTGATCCATACTTCTTCATAAAGAATTTACCGGACATATCGTCAGTGGTACCGGCATTTCGGCCTTTTCTATTGCCCAAGCAAACAAGAAGCTGCCCAACCACCTCACTTGTGCTGGATTTAGATGGTAAACATTTTTAAGTTGTTTTAGGCCCTTCAGCTGCATTAATATTTTGAGTGGGTGTTCTAATCATCATTGCTATTTTCTGCTGTTGTTGCGGGCCTACTGCCTCACAAGCTGTACATGGTTAGGTGATCAATATGATAAATTTTCAACTGTGGCTGGTTCAATTATGTTTTCTTTTGTTTTTGATGACTTGGAAGTGTTCTATATATATAGATATATAGATATGTGTCTATGATGATATCACATGAACTTTGAGTTCTTGGAGTACTAATTTTGCAGTTTTTGTTATTGCTTTTTTACTTCAAAAAAAATGTTAAATTGGAAACGTAATACGCCCAATTATTTTATCAATTCATAGAATGAGCCAAACTAATTTAACCCAGTACGTTGATTTGATCAGCAAATTCGCATATCGTGACCTTTCCATCATTTAATTGTATACCGACCAATAGTTCAACATATCTTTTAGTTCGTATGGTGGTGACATGCATATTATGTTTGGCAGAGACTTTGGTGCACTCTACTCTAGAACCATGTGAAGATGCAGATTTCACATTTACGGTCAATTTTAACCTGACGGATCACACTGTATATGTCCGATGCCGTCCTCATCTTAAAGATTTCCTGGAAAGAGTATCCGCACTTTTTGAGATTATAATTTTTACTGCCAGTCAAAGCATTTACGCAGAGCAACTTCTGAATGTGCTCGACCCGAAAAGGAAAATCTTCCGTCATCGTGTGTATCGTGATTCCTGTGTGCTTTTTGATGGAAACTACCTCAAAGATCTGTCAGTTCTTGGCCGTGATCTGGCACGCGTAATTATAATCGATAATTCTCCTCAGGTGAAGTTGATGTTGGCTTTAATTTATTTTCCATTGTCTATGTGCTCTCATGTTTTATGCTGGATTGTGAAATTTTAGTTTTATTTTTTTTTCAAAATTCTGATACTACCTTGAGGCTTTAGGTTTTGTGTAGCAGACATAACACTTTCCCTTTGGATGCAAAATCTTAAATTGGAAACTAACGTCGAGTTGGTTTATTAACTTGTGAAAGATACCAATTAAAATTATTCTCATGGAAGTGTACATTACTTGTTAAATCCTCTGTTGCGTGGCCTTTGTGAATATGAAGTTACTGTGTTCAGGCTTTCGGTTTCCAAGTGGACAATGGAATACCTATAGAGAGCTGGTTTGATGACCGTTGCGATACCGAACTGTTGTTGCTGCTTCCATTTTTGGAAAGTTTAGTTGGGGCTGAAGATGTAAGGCCTCTGATCGCCAAAAAGTACAATCTTCGGGAGAAGGTAGATGCTGCTGTTTGTCCTTTGGAGTATGAAAGATGAGCACTTGTACTTGTTGCGCAGACTCAGAGACTATCTTCATAAAATTAAACAGCAAACATTTAGGGCAGATAATTTAAGTTGATAGACTCAGTTGTATCGGACTCTTCATGTACTTGCTTGTATTCTCTGTATGTCAGAGTTGTATGTTCACATATATAGAAATTGCACTCTGTTTTACTAAACTTGTTATATATGTGTTCTGTTTGTGCCGAATTATTTTTAGACTTGGTCACTTGCAAGCTGTAGAGACTCACATTTCATGTATTGGTAAAAATCATTTGGAACCGGTGGGACACCAAATTTTTTCATTACACAAGCCTGGTCCAGGCCGGCTCCAAAACCCATGGACACCAAATTGATTTTAAAAAGGTTTTGCAATATTTTTTTTACAAGTATTTGTTGGTAACAAAACAAATCATGCTAAAATATTCAAGAAAATGTTTAGCCGAGAAAGTAATTACAACCGCAAAAGGAAAAGACGAGAGCTTTTTTTTTTTTTTTTTTNNNNTTTTTTTTTTTTTAATCTTCAATGGTGATGGTAGTGTATTACATGCACTTATATATAGCCTGCTCATAGATCTATCTAGAAAACTTGAGGATTAGAACAAATAACATGTGCGCTGGTGCAATGGCATGAGAAAACTAGTTGTGCAAAAGACAAACAATTTAAACAAGACTAGTACTATAGCACATGCATGGCATGGTGCATGGATAAGCTGACATGGAGTCTTCTTGCTGACATGGCAGGTGACCATAAAATTACTTGCGAACTTCCCCCCTCAATTTGAGGGAACTGAGAGGAACAACACGAAGTTTGTTGCGCATGCGAGTGGAGAATTGCCCCATAAGCGACTTAGTGAAGATTGAAGACATTGGCCTTTTGATTGATTGTTGGAACATTATGAACAAATATAGCTTTGTTAAGAACTTTTTCTCGAATTAAGTGGAGGTCAACTTCAATGTGCTTGATGCGACCTTGAGCGAAAGGATTACAAGAAATAAAAACGGCACCAAGGTTGTCCACCCATATGTTGGGCGCTACACAAAGTTCATGAAGAAGAGTCTTGATCCATAGCACATCGGAGACAACATGTCCTAAGCTTCTATACTCGGCCTTGGTACTACTTTTGGAAACAGTTTGTTGCCTTTGAACTCCAAGAGACCAAGTTCCGTCCAACAAACACAATGACTCGAGGTGGATTTCCTATCATCAGGATTTAATGCCCAGTTTGAATTAGAAAAAGTTGAGATATGAAAGTGACATGACTTAAAAATATGTAAACCATAGTCTGATGTTCCCACAAGATACCTGATGAGTCATTTAATTGCTTTCCATTGAGAATACAAAGGAGATTGCATAAATGGACTGAGTTTGTTGACTGCAAATGCAATGCCAGACCTTGTGATTGTGAGGTATTGCAAGTTGCCAACAATTTGTCTATATAGAAGTCCACCTGCAAAAGGGTTGCCATCAAACTTGGATAAAGCAGGTGTACTAAGTGTAGGGCTAGATATCCCTTTGTAATTCTCCATATTGGCTTTAAGTAGAATTTGTTGAATATAGTGTTGCTATGTTAGAAGAACCTCATCTGAAGTATGATGTATTTCCATCCCCATAAAGTGGTGTAACGCGCCCAGATCCTTAATTGAAAAAGCCTTGGAATGATAATGAATAATAGTATTGATTGTTGAAGGAAAACTCCCAATGATGAGCATGTTCTCCACATATACAATTATGTAAATGATGTGTGAATGGGAGGACTTAACAAATAATGAAGCATCAACAAAAGAAGACTTGAACCCCAATCTAGCAAGTACTATGTGGAGTCCGTCAAACCAAGTTTTAGAAGCTTGCTTAAGGCCACGGATAACCTTTTTCAGTTTAGAGACAAAGGCAAGCTCCTTGCAGTCTCAAAACTTGGTGGCTCTTGCATATAAATCTCTGTTGAATCATCTAAAATGCAATGAAAGAAAGCCTTATTCGAATCAAGTTGATTAATGTTTGTCCCATTTTTGTTGCGTTTTTTGTTGTTTTTTTCTTTCTTTTTCCACATTTTATGTAATGCTCCGTTTGTTTATGAATATTATTAGAATTATTATTATTATTATTATTATTATTATTATTATTATTATTATTATTATTATTATTATTATTTGCTTAATCGTTATAATTGCTTATTAATTATATTAAATAAATATTGTGTGTGATCATATATATATATATTAATCGATTTAATTTAAGTATCGTCGCGTATGGACCGAACCATTTATTTTTCTAAGTGTTGTAACCGAGAGACCCCTAGCCGTGCTTCGAACCCGCGCACCTCGACCCTACCCGGCAACCTGCCCGTGCGCCCTAACCCCTCTCTCTCTCTCTCTCTCTCTCTCTCTCTCTCTCCCTTTTTGTTTCTTTTCGGTTAAGTATGGTAAGTTTGTAACCCTAGCCCTATAAATGCAAGAGATTCCCCTTCTCCTCGTGTATTAACCCCGCAGCTACTCCAATCTCTCCATCTCTCTCTCGTGAGCTCTCAATCTCTCACTTTCTCTTTCACGATCAACCTTCTGCCCTCACTCTCATAATCCGACCATCATCATCATCACCACCGCGAGCAACACCCCCTTCGCTGTACGTCGTCTCCCCGCATCGCTGTTCTGTCAACCAACCCAACCGACGCCCGCGATCATGCCCTGTGTACCCACTACTCGCGCACCATCCGCTCCTGGTTGTCCATCGCTGAGCAACACGCGCACCGACGAGCCAAGCAACGCTGCTGAGCCAGTGATCGTGCGCGCACTGCCCCCGTCTCGGCCATCCCTCGTTCCTTTTTGCGTGACTTTGCCCGAGAACGGCACCAAGGATGAAACCCTCTATTTTGGGGTATTAATGTGTTATAGCGATGCCTTGGTGTTAATATTATTCATGTTAGGGTTTTGTTGATATGGTTTTTAGTAAACCAAGTTATTACTACTCATAGGTTTTCAATACTCAATAATTAGAAGATTATATTCTATTAAAGGAATGACATGCTCGTGAATTTCAAAGTAATCACGTATCGGGCGAAGACAGACTAATAACCGACATCCTCATCAACTAACCGACATCTCATATCGGTTATGACATATCGGTTATGATCTAGCAAACCGATATCTATGATGTAATATCCCGTTCGTTTGTGGACTATTTGGGAATAATTAATGATTATTGCTATTATTATTATTATTATTATTATTATTATTATTATTATTATTATTATTATTATTATTGTTATTATTATTATTATTGCTTGTCTAATTGTCTTATTATAATTATTTATAAAAATGCTTAATTGTTTATTTTAGTTATTTTTATTGTTAATATTAGTGCTAATAATACTTTTCTAAATATTAATTAATATATATATATATATTATGTATGTATTATAATTATATGTTTCGTTTAAATTTTCGGAATCAAGCGATCGAACCCGGTCCGCTCGCGAGCCGCAAACCCGGTCAGCCGACCCGGTTTCCTTTCCCTCGTGCGTGTATGTTGTGTCTTGAGGGTTAAGAAATCAAACCCTACATCTATAAATATGTGGGAATAGTCCCTTAGCTCAGCAGATAAATTTTGCTCCGCAGTCATAATCTCCCTCGCTCAAACTCTCAACAACTCCCGTAGCCATCATCTTCTCTCTCTCGTACGTTAATCGCAGGCAGCAAGAGAAGAGAGAATCTTTTCTCGTTTTAATTCATCAGGCCGCCACCATCATCGTGCAACGATCATCGTCGGCCATCACTTGCAGGTCTTCGCCGGTCGTCTCCCTTGCGAAGCTCCCAGGCTATCCCCCTCATCGTTCAACTTCGACTTTCGGGACCCGTCGAGTTCCGTCGGAGAGCCTATCGTGATCGTCGAGTTCCGTCGGGTTCCGTCGGAGCGTTAAACGAAGCCGACGAGTTCCGGACGCCGAGCCGCCATTGTCGCCACCTTCACCCGCGTCCAGCAGCCCCTGTTGCTTCGCGTTCGATCTCCGAGAGCCAAACAGAGAGCCGAGGCCTTTGATCTGAACCCTCCTTCATCCGTTCTTGTTTAATTCCTGAAGGAGGTATAATCCGATCACCCTCTTATGCTTAAGAGAATTTTGAAGGATTAAATTAGGACTTAAGGTTCATGCAAATTATTGTTATCTAGAGACATTTTTTTTTTGTGTGCTTATTTGGCCAAATTGTTATGTGAATTGTATGTTGAGATGGTGATGAGGATTACACTATCAGTGAAGTATATTCAGAGATTTTATCTCAGCTCATGTTGAACTTAGTAGAAGTCCTGATGATTTAAGAAAAGGAATGGAAAGTTGAAGGCATGTTTATATGTATCTTGTGCCATGCGAATTTGCCTAAGTTGCTGACCCTAAAATGAAAAATTTTGTTGTATATATACGCAGGATTTATAACAGTAATAATGTCTGTTTCATGGCCATGATTAGTTGTGGTTTGAGAAATAAAAAAAAAAAAGAAATAGAAGGAGATGATGCATGTCGTGTTGTTAGTTGTTTTGGTTTCATTATGATATATATTAGCTGATTGTTATTCAAGTCATTAAATGGTTGTTTAAGTGCTAAAAAGTTAGATTTATATTAGCTAATATGGCCTCTTTTTTTTTTTTAATTAATTGCCTCTGATATTAGGAGAAATGAAAGAAAAAAAAAGGATATGTTTGCATGTATGTGTGTAGTGTTGAGCCGTCTTGCCGGATTTTAATATAGTGAGTACATGATTTTATTATTGCTATCCATTAGTTGGGAAGTTACTAAAGTGATGTATATATTTCGTAACTTAAATGTGAGTCATATTGTCTATTTACTGAATCACTTTTGTTTCTGTAGTTTTAAATGTTCAGATTGTGGCTTTTAATTGTTTGTAGGAGCTGATTTTTTTTTAAGTAAAGAGAAAGAAGATATTATAAGTTGTGAACCTTAAGCCTAGAAAAATCCTTCAGAATGGTAAATTAGTTTATCAAGTTA